TAAATTAATTTCTTAAAAAAAAAAAGATTTTTAACAATATATTTGTGTCATTAATTCAAAACTGTGTTATAGTAATTTTTATATGAAAAACAAAGAAACAAAATGAACGTACTATATATGTAACTTTAACGAATATATTAAAGAGACTAGCATAAACGATTGTATATAATAACAAATTCTGGATAATCACAAATCCAGTTATATTCGTCGTATTTTTAAATAAATTGCGAATAAATCGATGCAACGTATCACTTTTCGTATTATGCACGTATAATTATATAAATATAAATATAAATATAAATTTTTGGAAATAATATTCCAATGAAAAATTATTATTATTTTTTTTTGTCGAAAAACATTAGAAAAGAAAAAAAAATAATAATAATTAAGAAGATATTCTTCTACTCGTTCGTGACAAATTATCAGTTGGCGAGTTGTCGTATGGTTTACCATTAAAACCAACATATCTGTTATTTTTTTTATGAATAAATCCACCACTTTGAGAATCAGTTTTATAATAAATGACTCTTCTGATACCAAACGGATCGATATAACCAAAAGAACCAACACTATCACCGTTAGGTTCACGTTCTTCTTCGTGATACTGACGTTTAAGATAATATTCGAAACCATTATTGGTATTATATATTTCGTTAGGTTGTAAAATGTCATCGGTTAATTGATTATGCGAATTTCGATTAGCATAATCAGCATTATTACTTGAAACAATGGGTGGTGGTCTTAATATTTCGATAGGTTGAACAATGTTGTTACTTCTGTAATTCGGATTATCATTTGAATTATCCGAACGAATAACATTATTTTCTCTATTGTTATTATAATAATCGTTATTATTTGATTGAGAAAAGTATGGTGAGATAGTAATCGGTTTTATAGTAGTTGGTGTATAATAACCGGTATTAATATCATTCCTGGGCAATGGATTGACATTTATATTCCTGTTTGTTTTTCTACAATTTAAAAAAATGAATATTAATAAATTTTTATAATGATTATTAATTTATAATATCATTTGTATAATAACCTGAATGGGTTTGGTGGTTTTTGGGGTTTCACTAATACTCCACTTTGAGCTGGTGAATTTTTGGTTATTATTAAAGCTTCTTGAATAGGTGTATCTTTACCAACGTAAATCATCTTTGATCTAAAATTAAAAAATTCAAGATTTAAATAATATATAAATTATTATTTTTAATTTGTAGGATTATTTGTTATTTTTGTTTGATTTGTTTTCTTGTTTTACTTTAAAATACGAAAGCCTTGATGATCAGCAATGTAATCCTTGTAACGTAAATAACCAAGAGGATCGAGCCAGGCTTCCGTACCAATGACCGTACCATCGGCCAACCTTTTTTCTTTACGAAACTGACCGTTCAACGTTTGAAAGCGAAAGTATCGTTCCGGACCTTCATCATTCTGTATATGGTATTGAGTATTTGGGACATAATTCCAATTTCTTCCTTCGGATTCTTCGTATGCGTTTGACGTCGAATATAAAATCGAAAGCTGCACACAATCAAAGAAAAATAATTATTTATTAAACGAATTAACAAATATTTATATAATCGCGATATTCGTATAGACGTTTAATTAAATAAAATATATAATATAACAGTGTTGACAAATAAATCATTATTTAATATATTAATAATAAATATATATGTGTA